CCCTTATGTTTATAACAGTCCTCTAAATTATTAGCTCCTTGTTTGACTTCATAGGCATAATTGTTGCTATTGTTGTTTTTTTTTTGTCTGTTTGTTTGTTTTCTTAGAAATTATTTAACGTAGAAGCAGCCAGCTGTAGCACGGAACTTAGGGAGTTGCGCACCAGGCTATATTTCAACCACTTGGCCAATCATGGTTTTTTCTTATTTTAGGTGAGTAATGCTTCGTGCCAAGCTAGCGATTATTGAAGTACAGAGGTGCTCGCATTCAGCTCGCGATTTATAAGCTTTCCTCGCGTTCTCCCAACACCCTGCATGACAATGTGTATTCTACCGCTTAATTAAGAAAGTTTAGCATCATTTTATGAAAAAAAAAAAACACTTTTCAGGTCTCTTCTCTTATCATTTTTTTTTCTTAAGAGTGAACACAGACGCCCGCAGAAAAACTCTGCCGTTGGCTGTAAGTACGTTGGTAGATGTCCTTGCTGCAAACAGTTAAAACTTTTGAAGATATACCTTCTTTCAGATAAGTATATTATGTAATTTTCTTAATAGTTCGATACTGTTCTGTTAGGCATAACTACTGGCAGTTTAGAGTGACCGCAATGTTGTCTCTTTTGAGAATATTGAATATTGTTAACTGTCGCTCATTACTCGTCTGTAGATATGATCAAACTATCCTTTCGTCCATATTATACAGTTTTGCTAAATTACATGAACAAATGAATTTATTAACACATTGTACGATATAAGCCACACACAAGGGAAAATACACTATTGATGTTCTCTTCCCACACGCGATATACCAAACATCACTCCGATATTTTACTTGGAGGGAAACTGTCCAACTAGTTTAAGCCAAGTTTTTTTCTTATTCTAGGCAACCATTATATTGTTGATGATAGTCACACAGAAGGCAGGCTCGGTGAATTTGAAACTTGTTCGATGCAGTATACCATTTGATCATTTTATCAGTTTAAAATTAAAAAATTGATTTATGCGTATATCTAAAAGTGATACAGCGGAAAACGCCTGTCAGTAAGTTGTTCAGCATATGTAACATATCAGTAGCTAATAGTATTTGCATAGCAAGGTTATCTTCGTGGTTTGATCATATGTAGTTGTTCTCAGGCTGCTTTGCTGGCAGATGTGTTTACATCTAATCCGTTAAAAACTGTTTATAAAATCGTTGACAGCAACAGCCAATTCAAGAGAAGTAACAAGAATGGGATTGTACTTACATGAAGTGATTTCTTGATTATACATCGGCCATTTATATCTCGCGCGCAAGCATGCTTAAAGTCAGAGCAATTTTTTATTCCTTTTAACATGGTCGAGTTCATTGTACTGTTCAGTTGCGGTTATATTTATCAACTGCTGTTCACTGATGTCTTTCATTTATTCACTGATACTTGCTTGCGTTTAGAACATAAAACATTTGGTGACGTTTGTTTGCGTTTAGAACTTGAAAATGTCTACAAGTTGGTTTCCCTGAGAACTTTATGTAAAACTATCTGATTGTGTTGCTAGTATTCGAAATCTTTTGTATCTACGAATTTTTGTGCGCTTGGCATCTATTTGGTTAAATTTACTTTCGTACTAGTTTATGTACTTAAAGATGTTCGCTGGAGGTTAGCAGTAGTATTTGATTTGGTGTTGCGCGGTTCTCACTTTCTATCCGATATTTGCCTGACATAGCATTGATTTTAAAATGATTGCTTGCGGTTTTTATTTGTGTTGCTGTTGGCTTCCTGTTTGCATTTATTTGCTGATGGTTGATTTTCCTTTGTGTTCATGATTCATTGCTATCGGTTGTGGCTGTTTTTTGTTGTTTTTTTTTTGTTTTGTTCGGTTTACATTTTTTTACTATTGCTTGCGTGAGATTGGTAACTTATTTTTTTTGCAGTTTGCATTTCTATATCTGCCGCTATCTACTTTTACAATGCATATATTTGTTTCTGTTAAATAGTGCTTTGCAGCTATTATTCACTTCTTAGCTTCTTATTTTCTGTTGTTTACTTGTCCTACACATTTATCAGTTACTGTAAGCTGTTTACTTATGTTTTTGCTGTTACTATCGATGTTTGCCTGCATACAGAACCTTATGTATACTGGCTATTCGCTTTTATTTACTGTTATTTTATTGCATATAGAACTTAATATATATTTACCAATGTTTGCTTGCGGTTCGCGTTAATCTACTGTTGTCTTTTTGCCTATAGAACTTTACCTATTTACTGATGTTTGGCAATTTTCTCATATCTGAGGGTAGAGAATTCCGATTTTTGGGCCAACTCTTAGCAAAGAGCTATGTATTTTTTCAGTAGATTAATGCTTCAGTGATTGGTAATGACAGAAGCCCATTGCTTAGAGCGTTCAACTCCCATACTGAACCTATGCCACGGTATTTTCACAAAACGGTTTATTTTTAGACTATCTTTTCCCGGGAAATTAACTACGTGCTAATCGTGACTGATCGAAGGGCTTCTGTGGGAAATCCCATTTCGGGAAACTAACTACGCGCTAATCGCGATTGGTCGAACGGCTTCCATGGGAATCCCACTTCGCGGTAAATTCAAACTAAAATGGGACTTGTCTGTGAAAACACCGCAACATAAACAAAGGGCAGTTGAACGCTTCAAGTAATGGGCCCCTGGTAATGACTAATACACCTGGGTAGCCTGAGCCACATCTTAATTGATGCACTACGACAATTTAATTGATCGTTTCCTTTACAGCCTGCTTCACTTCTTGTATTCCCCAGCAATAAGAATTGGGTTTAGTTATAAAGAGAAGTAAAGAATTGTTGTTGTTGCTCGAAGAAATGACGATCTCCAGGCAAATGGCTCTGAAATTGCAGTTGCTGATGGCGAAGACAGAGATACATCTTAACTTAAGAAAATTAGGATATTGATAAGGAAAATAACATCAATAAGTTCAGTGCAAAGCGGGCCTGTTCAAAATCCCTCCTGTCGTATCTTAACCTAATCAAAGCACAGTCTAGAAACCAAGTTACAACAACTTGGACACGGTTCCATGTGACAATATGTCTGTATGTCAGCCCCAAAAGCAGCGTAAGAAGCCTTTTTACCCAAATTGCCGCCAGTGTTAGTATGGTTACTGGTTTCAAAAGAATACCCAAAGAGCTGCTGTAGTATGAATATTTTCCTGTTTGTTTCGCGTCAAAAATGTATTAATTATTGCAAATAGAGGCAATGAAAGAAGTCTCACAGGAAGATCAGGGATGGACAAACAATGCAATAATAATTTCGTCGGAAGATACTTAGAAGTCATTTTACGAAGAGCAAAAGATCAAAGCATTATCCAAAAATGCACTGATGGGCGGGGAGAAAGATGTTAAGAACAGTAAGAAATATGAAAATCCTGATGGAACCATGCTTATTAGGTATATTTCACTGGTCGTCACTGTCCTAGATCACTTGCCGTGACGATTCCATCAAAAATACGGAAGAGGAAGAAATATGGAAGACCCCACGGTACCGTACTCATCTGAAGTATTCTTTTGACGTCCAACATCCCACTCGCGGCACGGATGTTTGCCGTCTTAAGTTCCAAGTAAAGGAAATATCATTTAAAATGGTTTTTGAGAAAAAAGGCTGAAAATAGGTGGCAAATCAGTAAAACAAACTACAATAGTAAATGTAACTTCTATTAGCGTCTATAATCCAGATATTGCGTCAATACTTTATAGCATTAGTGTGCAAATCATTCAATAAGACAAAACTGAAAAAACTATCTTTTAAGCACATTTCTTTTTTCGCTGTTTGATGGTAATTTCATTTTTCTCCATAGGAATGAATCTCGTTAAAAAGGCCGTAGTTTTTGTCAAGACAAAATTGTAAAGTTGCACCAACTTAGACAAAAATTGGCCTGAAATTCTAGCCAATCGTTGATCTGATTGCATCCTTTGCACTCCTTGCCCTGACAATGAGACACAGCTTTGGTCAATAGAACTGTAAAATGTATTATTTTATAAGAGCTGAAGCATCAATTCATTTCTACGTCTTTAGATCATGAACAACTTAAAGAACTTTTGCATAGCAAGCACGTTCAGGAGGTTAAAGGTGACCAATTCAAGGAACTTTAAACTGGCAATTTCAAGGGTAACGGCAAAATTAGCGTTATATTGGACTTAAATATTGGAACTCTGCGGCAGCCGTGAAATGGAAAGTTAGGAAAATTAGAAATGGCAAGTTACTTCTAAGAGGTGACTTTAATGATGGGCTGAATGGATTCTTCAAAGTAAAGATTTCAAGGGAGTTAAAAGGGAGAATTTAGAAATGCCAGTTACGAGGTGACCAAGTATTAATTGCAGAAAATTATGAGACTAAGGGAAGGGATGATTTTCTGATTCATTATCCAATTCGTTTTAAATGATATTATAAGAAAAGTATGGCAGACAGTAAGGAGAACTACCGTTCCACACTGTACACTACTATAAAACTTCCCGTAAGATTTTCAGCAGCCTACCCACTAACACAAATCATGCAAAACAACATCATATTCGAAGTATGCCTTGTGTTTGAGACAATCATGAACTGAACTAGATTAGGACTTAAAAGAAATTCAGTTCTCTTCTATACGCTCGTTGCTACATTTGCAAGTTATGTTGAGACAGTGAACGCTCTAGCATACTTGGGAAACCCTTAGGGGAAATGGAAGCTCATTTTTAATCGCCGTTTTCCCATACGTCGCAGTCACAACACATTTAGATATTCAATAACAGGAAGATGGAGAGGAGTCACTGAAATAATAATTGAACAGGCAATGTTTTAGCTGCTGAGCTGAGCTGACCTGAACTATATTCAAACACACCCAGAGAATTTTTGATTTTCTGACTCGTAATGTGTATCTTCGGAAGGGAGAAGAAACTTATTTCTGTTTGTCCACACCACTAAATACACAAATAAATCAGTCGAAGGTGGAGTGTCCTCTCAGTTTATTTCCATAAATCTCCAACTTGTTAATTGACACAAGACCTCAAGAAAAGTCCACTGGTCTGATTTTCATTTCTGTTTTTATAGGAGAGTTGTTTCCAGCGTTGCTAGAATTTAAGAATGCCCAGTAGATCCTGTTGGCCTTTTCTTTCCCATCAAGTGAAATAACACCATTTAGATTAGCTAGAAAACCACATCCAGCGTTACTTTCGTTATGAATATACCACCAGTGGTTCGCTTCATCTACATCATTGCAGGCCCCAAACAATGTGTTATTATGAGCACTGAGGGAATCACCAACAGTCGCCTCTGTGGATAAAAGAAAAATGCTTAGAACCCCTTCAGCACAAGATTTGTTATTTCGTTACTGCACGAAGGACTCCCAAAGGGGAAGCGTCCTTTTTTTCATCCTGTATGGCTATGTTTAACGTAGCAAATAGCTAAGCCTTTAGAATTGAAGAGAAAAGCCTCAATGATATTGTGACATTTATGTTCATGCAAATAAGGTGACTTGTTGTTGCTGTCGTTGACTTAGTTAAAAGATTGCCAATGTTCAGCTGGTAAGAAGAACTCTCGTCTCCAATTCCGAACCACGCATACTCAGCATAAACGGTCTTGTTAGCAGTAACTCCAAGTTCTACTCGCAGCCTGTTCTTTGTTTTATCTCGAGTCAGACGGTAGATCTTGTTCAGTCCAAGCCAAACTTCCCTGGGAAGAAAATTACCGAAACCATGTTTGTAGTCAGCCAAGGTGCGGGTGAAATTAACAGAACTATGCTGTCTCGTCTGAAGCACTGTCCATCCCCCGCCGTCTGTTAACTGGTCGCACAGTACATTAAAGGGACCTGAACCATCCTGAGGATCGATTGTATAGACGCCACTAATCCTATGACCGCAATTGTACAGCTCAGCACAGTTCTTAGCTGTTGAAGTAAACAAATTTACCAGGAGTTGCAAGCCAAGTAGACCTTTCGCTAGTGCCTAAAAGGTGCGGAAGAAGTTACAGGGATTCAAATTTCTCTTATTTTTCTTTGCCAGGTTTACAGCGGTCAAATTTCACTCAGACTAACAGTTTCCTAACAATTAGTCCATAAATATTCCATGTCCATACCGCCAGAAGAGTTTATGTATCTGCTAAAACTTGTAAAATCAGATTTTTTAGGTGGTTGAATTTCAAAAAAGATTCATGATGACAAGTCTCCTCAAAGTGGATGTCAAATGTAGAAATATGAACCCTCGGAGACCTTTATCCGTGAATCAAAATAAGTCAGAAAGCCTCACTTTAACTCAAATTACGTCGATTTTCGACCGCTTGTCGCTAAAAGTTCGGTAAAAAGTATTAATCACTGTCTTTAAACCAGGTTATCTATTAACCTTTGTCTTACCAAGGATAAATTTTTTGATTGTTTGACAGTGAATTGGAGAGGTACGTGGTGATGCCAAGTTATGAACTGTGCGACACAATGCCACAAGCAGCAAAACAGGACCCACTGAAATAAAGATAATGGTAGCATTGAATATTCCATTGGTTGTATTATAAGCAGCTTCATACCACAGAAAAAATCTGTTTCAAATTGTATGTATGCTCATGCAATCTGTCAGTTTATCAGATAGCCCTATCGACTGCCCCTTATTGGGTCAATATTTTCCTAATACGCAGCAGACCACGGGGAAAATCGGAGAAATCGTTACAAATCCAAGAAATTAACGGGGTAAATGCTAAGTTGTAACACCAAAGTACTAGCAATCAAAGATTGTTTTAATGAACTACTCAGCGTAATTTGCAGGATGCACATTGTCCAAGAAATAGCAGGAAGTCGCAAACTTACTTTTTCTGCCTTGAATCATTGTTCGTCTTTGGGGATGAAAAGCAGATTTTCCAAAAAATGCTGCGAAACAAAATACAAAACAAACGTAAATGAATAAAAAGCAAACTAAAAAGGGTGTGAATAAACTTTTTGATGACTACTCCGAGATCGTATGAAAAATGAGACAACTCTTGGATGCGAACATTACAGCTTAACAAATTTAAAAAGGATGATACATTGAGCTATATTTGCTGCGTGTCAAAGCCTCCACTAAATCATACAGTGGTACCCTGTTACCATGCAAGAATACAGTTATGGCAAAGGAACTCAATGTCCTTTCACAGGACTTAAATTCCTTCATTGTTCAGACGAAGATGTATTAAGTCTACAGATCGCAACAGAATAAAATAAGATATGCCAACCTATAAAGCGACTATCCCCGTTACCTACCTTAACCCTCCTTCGCAGTCTTGAGAACTAAAGAAAGTGCATTATGTTATTCCTTTTATGCTCCAATAAAGCTAGCAATGGTCAGCCAATCAGAAACTCCTCCGCATGGCAGGGCTTCATTTTAACCAAACCGACATTTTTGCTAAAGGATGACTTGTTTACGAAAAAATCTCCATCGGATTTGTCGGTGGACTTTTTCTTGTAAGAGGCTTTCATGTGAAAAAAATGCGCCGATGGTAATCAACTAAAGGAGATTATATCGACATGGCTTATATTCTCACGGCTGCGGGAAAATTATTTGTTTTCATATCATGGAGAAATGGAAATCTTGACAACAATCAGCGCTAACCACAGCTACACTAGGCTGTCTTAATGGGGTGAGCTGTCAGCCGTAACACGGCAAAAAAAAAAAAATTATAAAGATAAAGGTCGTCAGGCGTACTGGTTAACAACTTTTAAACGTACGACGTAAAAAAAGGTAACCGTGATATCGATGAAGGGTTAGCGGAAAGGATTAGCGGAAAAACCTTTTAACCATTTGCTAGAATAGTCAACACCTCGATGAGACCCTCGTATACAAAACTGAAATCACAATATGTTGGACAATTAGTCCCTAAATTACGAGGTTGTGATTGAATTATTGAAAAAATACATTAATTTGTGGTACTTTAGATGTCTCTGATAGACATGATAAGGGACAGTACGTTATTTTTCACATTTTTCTTTCACTAACCAAAAAGGTGACGCCCTGGTAAACGAATATTATTGACAAAAATATCCCGACTTCCATTCGCGTGATACTGTTGCACTTTGGTACCAATGGCTTCGATCTTATGGCAAGAGAAGGGGAAGTTCCTTATTTGTCTTCTTATTGACTGGTTTTCCACTAAGGATGATGCTTATTCATAAAAGGAAACTATTTTTACCCAACTGATGACCAGTCAAGAAAGGTAAATCTGAACAAGGACTAGTTGAATCCTTAAAGAGAAATTTGGGTTAGCTAAGCATTTTTCCAAGTAGGTCCTAAAATTGACAAGTTTGCAGGCGATACAATTTTCAAATTACTGGACAAACGAATATTTTCTTGAAAATTTCAGTTAGATTTTAACTTCCGTGCACAAAGTCAAATGCACCAGCACTCGCTTAACAACTGCTTCTTCGGATTTAAGAACAATGACTACCGATTGAAAATGCCTTCATCGCATGTGTTCACAACACACGCCGAAGCTAAGCAATTTTTCATCCGACAGAAAATTACACAGATGCAGGGCTTACCACTTTCTTTTGATATTAACAAAAGGAGGGGTCGATACACGTCTTCTGAAGTTCTTTTCATTCCTTTCGATTTCCTTTTCGGATCAGTCTCCTGACCCCTTGAGGTCTCAAGGATTTTTAAAAGTATAGTTTTCATTTTCACGTTCGCACTCTTACTTTGATGTGATAACTAGCCGAATAAGTCGGCATTAGATGCGAACTTTTAACCTCGTATTAAAGGTGCAATGTGGTTTTGAGCTTATCGCCTATTCTAAACTGATCCCCTTAAGCAACGTATTATACTTGTACAGCTATGAGTTGCCAACAAGAAACAAACACTAATCCTCCAAACTGATTAAGCTTACATTGCTTTATATCGATCGGCACACGCGTATAGTCCACGACCTTTTTCCTCCTTAAGATATCCTTTCTTGTCGTTTTTTTTATTTGTTTTGTATTGCGTTTTGTTTTCTTTTTCTTTTTTTTTTTTTTTTTTGCAGTGGCGGTTTTATTTCAGCGGAAAAATCGATTTGACGCGCAAGTTGATGTCCTCAGCTTCCCTTTAAACGCATGCAATATTCTAAATACTACACTGAGGGGGTATTAGGTTCGGTTTAAAACCGCAAAACCGTACAAAAATCATCCAAAACCGCAAAACCGCATGCAAAACCCTACAGTGGCGACGATTGGAGCATAGAAGAGAAACCGGCCAAATATGAAAAAACCAAAATCCGCATCGGAACCAAATCCGAAAACCCGTTAGTGTTTTTGACAAAAACCGAAAACCAAAATGTTTTGGCACAGAAACCGAAAAACCGATCTAAAATATAGTCAAAACCGCAAAACAGAAAATCTCTATGCCCCCCTATACCGTTTTATCAATTAAGTTAAGCGATTTCAACGATCAACCATGATAGGGTTGAGTGGTTCAGTGCTGTCGGCACTTAAGATACAGCTTATAACGAATGGGAAATGCTGTTACGCTCCCAATGAAGGGAGATTCATTTTGGCCTGAGTGATGACTTTGAAAGAAAAATAAATTTGAAAAGGAGTTACCAGATTCCAAATGGAAAATCTACAATAGACGAACATTTTTAAAAATATTTAGTTTCGAAAAGAAGACAATTTTTTTTAACGTCGACAGTTTAACCATGGTATGCAAAGGAACATTTTGAACAGACAAACATTTTCCTGCAAATTCCATTGAAATTGGAACTTCCGGGCACCAAATCTTAGGCAATTTAAAAAGATTTAAAACAATATCACAAATAACTGCTTAACTGTTTGCTCGTCAATGTCCCTATTCTGACATCGGACGGTGGTGCAATTATTACCGATTGTGAATTTTCTCACAGTAAGTGCTCACAGCACACGCCAGATCTATTTCTCATACAGAAAGAAATTACAGAGATGCAAGGCTTGCTACTTACTGTAATAAAATCAAAAGTTTCGGTCGGCCAACTTTTACCACTGTACAACTTTACTTCAGTTTCTTCTTGTCTACCTTCTCGGCTTTTTCTGACCACTCGAGGTCTTGAGGTACACAAAAGGGAAGTTGTGAATTGGTTTCGACCTCTTTTTCTTTGAACACTAGAATGTGACGAGCTTGCCGGTTGAGTTGGCATTGAACGCGAACTGTTAACCTCAAATTAAAGAGAGGGGCATTAGGATTGTCGGTTTTGCGGTGTTGGCTATTTGTTAGATCGGTTTCATGATCTTTGATAATAATAATAATAACAATAATACTAACAAAGTCTTTATTCCATCATAAGATAAAACTACATATCGGTTCATCCTTTATGTTACAATAAAGGTCGGAAAAAAACTATTATACAATAGAAATCTACATACATATTATGAATTAAAAAGTATATATTACAATGAATGGAGCTTAATTATCAACCTATTTACAAAGGCTTTCAAAAAGCGCTGCGTATTGATTTTCGGGCGTGCGCAGCCTTCTTTCCCAAGATTATGTACATAAGTCTTCTGGACAGGAATAATGTCTTTCAGGGGGAGGCAATCCGTTGATATTAATTTCTTCAAAATGTTTCGGTCTTGTTTGTTTGTGCCGAAACACTTCGATTTTTTGGTTTTGGTCTCCATTTTTTTTTTGTCAAAAATATTAATCCGGATTTGGTATTAACAACAAACCCAGGTTTCTCTTCGATCTGGGTGGCAATTATGCGCCTTTATTGATCTCGAATCAAGCAGCGAACTACTATCTTATTGAGAGGAACGCGTGACAAACCAAATCTCACCAAAATAATTCCTCTTAGGTCCAAAATCGTTATTTTTTTTTGGACGACGAAACAACCTTTCGCCATAATTATTTCTTTCTAACGACTTACATTGTTTGCCCCGTGATGATCCCAGAAATCTTAGCGCAAACCCAAAGATTCGATTACTGGTAACTCATTCATTTTAGCAGATACTACAGGCGGCGGTCTAAGCGTACTGTGTGTGATTTTGAGGTCCAAGAAAAAAGTAGCCAAAAGAGCGTTAAAACGACCGTAAGCGACAAGGCGGCTACAGAATGAAAGTTAAGAAAATTAAAACATTTTATTCCTCGCTTTCATTATCCTTTTTGCTTTTTAGATATATATTTATATTTTCCCCTTTTTTTACGGCACACGCTTACGTTCAAATAATTGCTGCGCAGCGAGTGTAACGAGCGCGCAGCAGCATAAACAGGCATTTAAAAGAATATAAATAGGATGCAAATTCTCGAAATTATCATTTGTACCAGAATGCACCACCTTTTAGCAGAATGCATAACATTTAACCAGTCTGCACTGTGCCATGTTTACTGTATTTAGTGAATTTCGTTACATAGTTTTACCTGACTGTAAGGACATCAATCGTGTTGTACATCTATTTTGCTTACTAAAGGCAAACTAAGTAACCGCAAGCATTGTATGGTAAATCTGCTATCTTGATCACTGAATGAAGGACGTTTGAATCAAAGCAATGCAAGGAGTTACTTGTCATGATCAATGAATAACTGTACCTTGCGTAAGTTGACACGCTGGTAAGCCGGAAAGCAAAAGAATTGTTGAGAGGCCTGTGCGACTCCTGCCATTCGCTATAGGTTGTAAAACTTCTAGCCTCAAAGTTAACTTTTTATTAGGATATAATCTCTTAATGACGTTCCCTTGTGATGTGATAACATAGGTTAGTTTTAAGATGTCATTTCCCCATCCGTATGTTTTTGGAGTTTGGATGAGTTTGTGTTACGGAGGGCAATATTTATCTTCTGCCTGCGCTTTTTCTTTGTTTTTAAGTATACTTTCTCCCCCGCAGAAAATAACCTCAGATATAGTTTTTTTCAAAACCTCCATCTACGCATCCTCCATTAATTACGAGCCCCACCACCCCAATAGAAAAAAAAACATCCAATTAATCTTGGTATGTAGTC